TGCTGAAAATGTTTTATCCAGTTCTAATCACGTCTTGTATCTTTTCAGCCCTAGATGAAAGCCAGAGAAACTGATGCAGAAAATGAAGGAATTCTGAGGGGAAAAAAAAAGTCACTTGAACACCACAGAATCCATTAAAAGCTTTGAGTTAAAATACAGGCAAATGGCCATGCAAATTTTTATCTTACCCCATCTCTTCCCTTATTTGTATCAGTTGGGATGAAAATTCCTGCTTTTTTCCCCCATGAGAAGCTACTTTTATCTTCTAAACCCTGGCACACTGAGCACTCACATGGCCAGCACAGAAGTAACAACAGCAGAGCTTCGCAGCCCGGAGGTTGTGGTGGATGGGACAGCCCAGGGTACTCCAAAGAAGAGAGACCTTCAAGGAGATAACATGGCTTCAGGGCTGCAGACTGGCCTGAAGAGATGCCAACAGAGTTTAGAGCTGACCCCGGCGCCAAGGAAAAACAGACGTACGAGGTGAAACTGAGATCAAGATTTCCTGCCTTTTCAAAGACAAAGGTGAAGTGGTGGTGGAGCAAGGAGGACGAGGGTGGACTGGGAGAGCAGAGCTACCAGCTGCACACCACAACCAGCAAACCCCATCCTCCAAAGCCTCGGATAACACTAACCCCCATCTGAGGCTTGTGACTATTTTTCAAGGCTTTAGCATCATTTGAGCAGGCACCTGTCACTGTTACTCAGTATCATTGTGAACTGAGGAAATTATTTTAAAACATGACCTTCGGCTTGGTGTAGCCTGGCTCGCAGGAGAAAGGAGCCCCTCAGCCTAGCAAGGAGCAGCCCCATGGGAACCCACCATTACACGAGAGAGCTGTACAAGCTCTGCTGCCGAGCAAGAGGTCAGCTGTACCCTAAAGCCGGGGTAGCAACTAGAGAAAAATATTTCTGAAGAAGCCAGGAACAACCTCAGCTCTCAATTATCTTTTTCAAATCACAGGGACAGATTATCCCGAGGCACGCAACTGCGTGGGTCACCTAAGGATACCAAAGTGCTTCACTCATCAAAAGGCCCTAGGATTCAACTAGCACTTACACACATCCCAGGAGAGGGAAAGCAAAGTACAAAAGGTGCCCGTGGCAGCCCGGGTACAGAGGTGACACTGCTGCCAGCTCAGCCCTTCTGCTCTGCCAGCTCAACCTGGGTCCTGCAGCTCCAGCCAGCCTACCACTGGGGCAGGACGTGCCCACGGAGGAGAAGAATGAAGATTTTTGAGGGGAGGAGGGTCAGAAGAGAACTTTTATGGGTGAGATGTCTCAGGAAGGACACTGAGAAGTTAGTTTGGATAGTTGCTAAATGTTCTCCAAAGAAAGTGCAGATCTACTCAGCCCCCAGAGGTCCTTGAGCCAACTGGGGTAAGCTTCAATGCCACATCAGGCAGATTATCACATTGCATTTCCTTCACAATAAGAGTTAAGGACATGCCACCCAAACGCAACAGCAATCACTCAGCTCCAAGGCCCAGGTATTTTGGGGCGCAGGCCCAGGAAACAAATGCTGCAACCTTCCCACTGTTTCCTCACTCGTCTAAGAGATGACTGAACTATACATCCATCTTGTAGCTACTGCTTACGTGTGTGTCAGTATCCAGGCCAAAGTGTCTTTTGCTTTTTTATCTGAAGTATGTCAGGTTTCCTGAAACTGCTAATGATTTAAATAAATTTCAGTCTCAGATGTCTATTCCAATGATCTATGGACTAATATCAACTGACACTCAGTTTGAAAAAAAAAACCCAACTACTCAGGTCTTCATCAGATCGACCAGGACAAAAATATGATCAATTATTTTCCCACAGATGCATTTATCTTGTGAAAAACTAAATCAATCAGTTCACTCCCTGGAAGTGTTCAAGGCCAGGCTGGATGGGGCTTTGAGCAACCTGGTCTGGTGGAAGGTGTCCCTGCCTGTGGCAGGGGGGTTGGAACTGGATGGGCTTTAAGGTTCCTTCCAACCAAACCATTCTATGATTTAGGAAATGAGATACAAGACGACATAGAGTACCGAGGCTCCGGTGGACAGGAGTGCAGGCAGAGCCCACTGTGCCCTGGGGATGGGCAGCACCGCACAAAGCTCTCTGCCAGTCACGAACTCAAGAGCGGGTCTCTCTGAGAGCCACCTTGGGGGACAGAACCTGCCCTGACTGCTACCAGTCTTTTTCCGAAAGGCAAGGGCCAAGTGGGTCCCAGGGATGAGAAGACAGAGCTCTCTGACACAAAGATGAGGGGTCTTCTTGTGCCTCAGTGCCCCTTTTATTAATTCAGGACTAACATCGGACAGCACCAGGGAGGGTTTGTGAGCTCTGCTAGGAGGGTACATCTGCTTTCACTGCAGACTACTCTTCACAATTTACCCAAACTATGGATGTGGCCCAGAGGGCTCACAACACCCTTCCCCTGCACTACAGGGGAAAAAACTAAATATAGAAATACAGAATACAGAAAAAACTAAAATAAAGAGCAATTGATTGCCATCTGACACCTCCTGTTCCTCTCTCCTCAGACCATGGTGATGCAGGACAGCTCAGATCTTCTCATACCCAGTCCCAGGACTTCATGCATGTAATGTTGGTAAAGGGCTTGGGGAGCCTAGTAGGGAGACAACTACAGAAGGGCAATCAAGCCACCCAATTAATGCTGCTAACACCGATAATAAAGGGTCTGGATGGCCAGGATATTTCCATAATACTTACTGAATGCCAGGAAAGCACAGCTTTGATTTAGCTAATCCTATTTTTCAAATAATGAAGCTTAAGGTAAACAAGATGTGACTTCAGTATGTTGAAAGTGAAGATTATTGCTCTATTCTGGTATACCAAATACGAAACTAAGTAGCATTCAGGACTGCTGCATAATCTCATTGTACACAGCCTGGTGACTATGACCCCCATGCCATCCACAAGTTCAGGTGGTCTTGTAACAATCGCGTAATTAAAATGCAAGTTTCTATTCACAATCAAAATTTAAATATCCTGCTTTCATCTGAAATATTCTCCGTGGGCACAAGTAACAGAGAACTATCCTAGAAAGACAGAGAAAGATAAAAGGAAAAGGTTTTTCTCTGTTCCTGCCTGTGTATTGAGTGTCATTATTCAACAATCTGTTTGTAGTGCATTTTTCTGTTCCCCTGCAGAGTCAGCCCTGGATGTGCACAAGAAATGGAGTTGCCATCCGATGGGAAAAGCTGACCTATTGCAAACTGCTGCAGAATCAGAATGGGAAGATGAAAAGTTTGTGGCATGAAAAATTCCAAAAATTTACCGCACAGAAATGTCAAAACAAAATGTGTTTGATGGGAATGAAACAATCCAACTTGCTGGCGTGACATTTCTCATTTTAAAATACCACATCAAATTGATATTTCAGAAAGACCAATGCCACTTCATTTTGAAATGCTAGCTTGCAGCAGCATTTTCCATTCTGATTTTCCCAGATTTTTTAAAAAACATCCAACTCATTGAAAGTTGTAATTGTCACTAAAACATTATTTTTTTTCTTTCAGCAGAGTTGGCCCTGCAAAACATGACAACCTGCTCTAATCAGCTCGCTTCTTTTGCTGTTTATGTAAAAATACATGTAGCAGTGGAAGGAAGAAAAATAATTCTAAAATCTGGAAACCAGTTAGACCATAAGAACTGTAACTATGCAGTACTTGCAGTTATATTCACTATATTTTATGAACGGAATAACATTCAAGTAGTCATTGTTGATTTTACCACACTGTGAAGCAGATATTATTTTCCTGACTAAAGACAGGCATGTAACTGCATGCGGAAGAAATGCACATAATGACGTTTCATTTGCACATACAAATTAGGGACATTTTCAGCAGCATCTCCAGGCTGGGCCTTTTATATGCGTAGCTACCTGGTTTGAATGTATAACCATGAGGGTTAAGGATGTACAGTCACATGGAAGCAAGTACACCATTGCCTATTAAATTATTTCACGGCACCCCTGAAGAAGCGAGTGATGGTTATCCTCCCTGTTTTATAGATGGGAACAGTGAGAGAACTTACTGACATGCCCAAAATCACAAAGGGAGCCTGAAGCAAAGGCAGGTTTTGAAGCCGTGTCTTCAGGGTTTTGCTCCAGCAACTCTGCTGCAAGGCACATGTGCCTGCTCTTGTCTCTAACATTTCCTAGAGTACGCTTTTGAGAATACCGATTCATACAGCTTTTTCTCATCTCAGTGAGACTGAAAAAAACCCAAGATCATCCTCATTAAATTCTCACTAGTTTAATGGGCAATCTAATATTGAAAGAATGCAGGCTATGAAATGATAAATACCATTGCAATTTAGTGCATTTTGAAAGAAATAAGGCTGAAAGATGAAAGGAAATTATAGTTGTCTTTGTCTTTCTCTGATCTCTGCAGATGAATGGCGCGTGGCGTTCCTGAGCAGCAGTAAATGCTCAGCAGAGGCTAGCACAGAGATAAGCGGTCCACCCTGTACTGTGGCTCCTGCACCAGTCCCTGCCGCTGCCCAAGGCCTCCACCGAGGTAAGGAGGACTTACCAGGGTTTAACAACATGCCACCTGAGGAAATGGGCTGGCAGAATGGGTAATCCTCCAACAGAGCTTTAGAAAGCTTAGGAAATCATCTTGAAGCTGCCCCAGAGCCTTCTCTCCAGCCAGCATCATGGGGATATGCAGCACACCTTACCTGTGCCGTCGCTGCTGTGCCTTTGCTGCTGATACAAGGATTTAAGCTCAGGACAGGGAACTCTTGGGCTTCAGACTTCTGCGACTCCAGGCAGCTCTGCCTTTGCCTGATCATCCCAGTTTGATAGAGCGATTCCTCAGGAATCCTGTGGGAATAGCATGGAAACAACATCCCTGCTCCCCCAGGCACACGGAGTACTCAAAGGGAGGCTCAGTGGGGTAAGGAGGGTGCAGTCACACCATTTCACCTTCAGAAAATGAGAGCGGCACGATCGATTACAATACTGAACCGCTGAGAGCAATACATGGACAGGGACGCTGCAGAAGCAGCACTCAGAGATGGATGGCTGGCCTTTATAAGAGGAAAAAATAAATAACACTGCACAAGGCAGAGGAGCAAGGAATAGACTGTGAGCAGGCTGAAGGTCAGCCTTCAGCTTACAGGAGTGGGGAACTTTATAACAAACTGCCACAGAGCACTGGCGTTCCCTGTGAATGCTGCTGTGTAATGCCACATATGGCAAAAAAGTAAGAAAACAGCTATAAATCATTTTCACGCTGTGATTCTGCACTCAGCCATTGCACCAGCAGGTCCCTGGAGGTATCTCCAAAACTTTTGCACCCTTTCTGAGGATGGCTCCTGATACTGACAGGGAGGATGGATACAATGGTTTCTCCAGTAATTTTGGCGACTCAAAGGGATCTCTGCACAAGCTACTGTGGAAGTGCATATCAGGCAAAGCATTAGGCTAGGAGTAAAGCAGAGCCACCAGAATATAGGTCATAAACTCCTAGAGTGGATGGAGTCTTGAGTATCACAGAACAGTGTGAAAGGACTGGAAATTAGGTGCTTATATGTAAGCAAGAGTCATTAAGTACTGAAACAACCCACCAGAGGCTATGGTGGATTTTCCACCTTGGGATACTTTTGTAAGGAAAACTGGCAAGTCCCCTACACCACCTGTCCTGCAGCATGGGCAGGAGGATACCTGAGGAAGCCCCAAAAAGTGCTTTGCCCCTCACCAGCCCTGCCGCAAAGAGCCACGGGGTCTATAAGACTGCTTAGAGAAAGCAGGATCACAAATGAACCATATCACACTGTGAGCAAGCTGTATTTAAGGCCAGCACAAAATTCACTATGCCCTTCTGTAAAGCTGAAGGGACGGGGTGCCTGGGGCAGCGGGAGGTGTGGGGACTGGAGGTGCAGAGGAAAGCTCTGTGGGGCAGGAGGGATGGGGCATCCCACTGGCCTGCTAGAGCTAGGTGAAGATGGCACATCCATACCGAAGTTCGGGATAAACGTTTTCCAGATACCACTTGAAGCTGTGGCATTTCAACCTCTTCCGCAGCTCCACTCTGCTCTGGATGCTGTGGGAAGAAAATATCATAGAGATACAATGGAAATCATGAAGGTGAGACCCAACGCACCAAAAAGGGAGGCTGAGAGATACCCAACAGATAGGCACAGACAGCAAACACAAGAGCATCAGCAGCTTCATTTTCTGCTCTCTTCTGCATGGCTTGGGTGATCATTTTGATCTCTGTCTCTTTGGAGGTCTCACTTGGTAAAATGGCATGATGACATACTGCCTTTTTAACAAGGAGCCTGGAGTCTGGTAGATGAAAAGGTTCATGGAAAAGTACAGTCATTTAAAAATTATTATTAAAAAAAATGTATGCTCTCTACTATATGCAATAAGCATTAATTTAATATATTAATGTACTAGGAAATTAATATATGCTATTATAAGTTACTCTTAGTTTACAGGACTACAGAAGGCCTTCATTTCCAAGACCACCTAAATACGTCTTTAAGTTGGCAGAAGTTAATCACATGGTGAAATACTTCTTTCTTTCATTAACCAAGGCAAAATTTCTGCTAAGGGATCATGCTGTATAGTGACATTTTCCAAACTCCAGCTCCTCCCTGGGCCAGCCTCTACCCGTGGAGCTGTTATGAGCTGGCATTTACGGAGCAGTAGGAAGCCTCCAGTACCTTCCCTTCGCACAGGCTCTCTTCTCTACACCCTCATATATTTAGCAGGACAGAGCTGTTACTTGATTTGGTGCTGACGGATGGGAAGAGGATATGAATTCAGTGGAAACAGGTTAGTCACCAGGACTTCAATTTATTTATCCTGGAGACTGAAGAGTAGCCACAGGAATTTGGGTTTGGATTTGGAACTCCCTGTGGTCCAAAGGAAACTGTCTAAGGAAAGGAAGAACATATGAAAATGAGAAATTAGCAGAAATACTTACAGTCCTCCTGACAGGGAGGCGGTTCTGACTGTTCGCAGAATGAATGGCCAACTCCCTGCATACAAAGCACTTGCTCCTCTCCAATAAAGCCTTAGCGAGCCCCAAATTTGATGACTTTCCTGCCCCTCAGCTGCCAGTGAGACCTCTGGACTCTCCCCGCCAAACTCCGCTCTGGGACCAGAAGTACTTGTACCTAACGCCAAGGGCAGGACACAGGCAGAGGGGATTTTCCACCACCTCAATTCGGTTCACTCACTGGGATAAACTAGCACAGCATACAAATTAGCTGTTTATATGTTTCATCGCTGTGCTTACAGCATCTGCCTACCATTAGCATTTAATTGAGCGTTACTACAAAAACGACGCGGGTGGGTTTCCGCAGCAGGGCGATGTCACGGTGAACGCCCACTGCAGCAGGCAGGGCACAGGCAGCAGAGAAGGACACTTACTTTCCATAAGGCCTCCCTTGGGCTGCGGGACGAGCCGCGTAGTAGTACTGCTTGAATTCATCCATCCACACCTCCGCGGTGCGCTTGGTGTTTCTGAAGGAGGCAATGAAAGACAGGTGAAATCAGGGAAGCCTCCAAGGTGGCATTTTCTCAAATGCATCAACTGATCCATCCCACTCTCCTCCCGTCTTCAACTTGGTCTTTGGCTTCACCCAAACCACCTTTGAGCCAGCCCTCCCCTCACTACTACAGAAGGCACCCCTCCTCCCCTCCAGGGACCAAACACAACAGGCCAAAGTTTGTGTGAAGAATTCACTGTTTCAAACTCAGCTGGATGCTTTGCATCCACCAGACTCAGAACTGAAGCTTCTCCTAAGCATCATCTCCCAGGCAGGCATGCCTGGGGTTTTATTCAGTGGCTGGGATGGAGCTCTGAAAAGTGGTGCAAAATTTGCCAAAGATTGAAGGCAAATATTTCCTTTGCATCAAACCTGTATGGACTCTCCTGCTTTGCACTCCTGGATTTCACTGAGGCAAATCTCAGCATTCAAAACTTAAGAGAAACCGCCCTGGCCACAGTGCTGTAGCATAAATGTCAGTCTTTCACATCAGCCAGGTGTCTGCAGAAGGTTTATGAACCTCAGGAAATCTTCTGTTGACTTCAGATGGCTCCAACTCTCCTTGCAAATGGCTTTGTTGCTCCATGCCTATCTGCCTGTCCCTGCCCGGGCCAGGGGAGTCCTCCAAGCCCCTGCTCCGAGGCAGCCCAGTGCCTCCAACCTATTACTTCCACGCCACTAAGCTGCAGGTGCCATGGGGCAGGGTCTGGACCCAGCCAAGTCCCATGTGGCCAGAAAAGGGGACAGTCTGCACATGAAACCAGCACAATACTAGAGCCTGAGCTGTCTTTCGCACTGAAGTAGAGGCTGTGTGTGGGGGGAAAAAAAAAAAATCAATATCTGGCAGAAAGGGGAAGATATTTTTTGCTAACATCTCTGTTTAAATAGAGGTACCACATAGCATCAGGTTGCCAGAAGCTGCTTCTCCTCTCAGTCTATATACTATAACATTAAGTTTAAGGCTGACAGATAGCATAAGGTTAATAAAATCCCAGCTCCTAATGCCTACAGATATGTTTCTCCAGATTGCTTTTCGGTCCCTTGCTGATTCATGGTGCTTCTTCCACCCTCTGAGGCCACTGCAATAGTCTAAGTGCTCTTGCTTAAGAGATGCCTAAGTCACAGTGTCTACATCCATACCTAACTTTGCCCAAAGTGCAGGGTTTTTTTTGTCTGGCTTCCTGATCTCACTCGGGTTTATAAGAAACATGGGGATAAATGCCGAGGCTCACACCCAGGTGTTGATTCAGATGTCCCCAAAGTCCCTGGACACCTGCACCTGAGGCGCAGCCAGAAGAGCTGTACCCATTCAAGCTCCCCTTGCTCCTCCTGCAGGTGATGCAACGCAGCCTCCACCTTCTCACTCAGGTTTTCAGTGACTCTGACAGTGGAGATTTTGCCACATCCCAGCCTCTTCTGTAGGAGTCCTGTTTCACTACTAAAAGCAAGAGCCCTCCTCATGACTCTCAAATTTGTGCCTTCCTCCTTGATGCCAGCAACGCCCTACGCCCCTCACCGCCGTCTTTTTGAAGCAAGGTGACAAAGTCCCCTTCCTGCCCCACACACGTGGAAACCACATATTAGGTATAACCGAGAGGTGTAATTTGCACTACCCCAGTTCGTTGTCTCACGCAAAGCCTGGGGAAGCAGCAGAGCCCCCGGGTCAGTGGTAACTCCGTTGCAGGCAGCTGGGTCTTCACAAATACCGTTGACTCTTTATAATACTGGGAAACCCACACTAAAAGGAATGCCTGGTGTGTAAACACACACAAATGCAGTTTAGCTGAGAAACAACCCTGCATTAGGTATAAGTGCTCCTAGTGGTTTTCTCTGTCATTTACTTAATGGACAACCTTCGGCCTCATGTTCTAAAAATGGAGGAAATCCTTCCTGACTTCACTAGCTGCTCCCATTATCTTTCCCATGCTGATTCCCACTTCTGGACTGCCTCCTTCCTTGCCCGCTGTTTCTAGGATCACAGCCCACTTCAACTGGCCGTTTCAAAACCTGATTCAGTCTATGTTCCAGTGTGTGAGGACAGGTCCCCTTCAGTTGGGTTGCCCTGGCAGCTCCTTCGGTGTCCCCGCCAGCAAGGTGCAGCCCATTGCTGCCCCTGCAGAGGAACAGCACCAGCCCGGAGGTGCAGGCACCCCCTCCAGCACGGTGCTTGGCTCCCTTCTCAGAGAGACATTGGGAACCAAATTTTCTGGTTCAGCTGAGCCACGCTCAGCCCTCAGCTAAGGCCACTGGGTACTGACAGACGCTGCTGGCAGCCTGATTTCAGGTCATTATAAATGCGTTCTGGTGACCTGAGGGTCTAAACCATTTGCTGTTACTGCAGCTAGTGCTCAGGGATATGCTGGGGCTGTCCCTTCATTTCTGTGCTCATGAAAGGTACCATATAAGTGTTCTATTTCTGTCACATTTGTGACACTGTAGAAATCCTAAGGGAGAGTCATACTGAATTGCATTTTCTTCAGCTCAGGAGATTCCTGCCCAGAGATATTTCAAAGTTTTCCAAACAAACTTTCCTCCCTGTCTTCTTTGCTCCCCACCTCCCCACAAGGCAGCACCTTGTTCTCTTTCACAAAAAACAAAGCAAGCACAGAACACTTACTTAATGTATGTATTGGCATTTCCCTCTGGAAAGACATAGGGATGTTTCTTCCGGAAGACGTGTCCAACGCGGCTGCAGGGGATGATTTCCAGGCTCCCTCCACACATCCACACACGGAAAGAGATTTCTACAAGAGAAGCAGCTTCAGCATTTTGTCTTTCTGTCCTAGAGCAGGCTGGATCCTGATGTTACATCTCACTTCATCCTCTGCCACATTAAACTGGGGTAAATCAATTACCGCAGGGGCTTTCCTAGGCACAACTGCCTTAAAAGCACATTTCAAAGCTTCTTGTGATCTGTTTGAAGTCAGTGCACTTGAATCCTGCCTATAGCACAGCAGGTGCTATCACAATAGCAAGAGGGAAACGGTAAGTAGGTCCCTTTTCATGCAGCCCCTCTTACATTGCAGAATCATCTTGCCAGTTTTGTGCTCCCCTAATTACTTCTGAGCTGCCTATTTCAGAGTCGCTTCCCTCCAAAGGGCTGTCAAGTTCACCAGGAGAGGCCATGAATTCTGTTTATTAGTGACTACAACAGTCATTATCTTTACGAATCCACAGCTCATTCTGCAAAGTGAACACAGCGCTGTGTATCCATCACCTGTCCCAAAACGGACAGGAGCTTACCCTGCCCAGCATGTACTCCGTGCCACGAGTGCCCACACTGCAGTCCAACAAGGCACACACACCTTCACACAAGCCAAGGTGGGAGAGATTATCCTAAAAATCTGGATAAGCTGTCAGTATAGGAAATGTCTCCCAGTTGCCCCAACCTGCTCTCTGGCTGGTCCATGGGCCCCGTCCCAAGGAAAACGAGCCTGTGGCACAATTGACACCAGAAGTTATGGGGCTCTTGGCAGGGAGCTGGATGAAATCCTAGCTGGCGAGGTGGGACGGGTGAGCAGAATGGCTGATCTAATGGGTCCATCTGGTCCTAACACTTGTGCAGCTATGAATCTGTAGCTAAATTGTCAGATATTCATGCTTAGACAGAAGCAGCACGGAAAAGAAATGAAATTCAAAAGAAAATGCTTCTGCAGTTCTTTGCATCCTGTTCTATCATCTGTTGACAGTATAGAGCTATACGTAGCATGTGTCTACTCCAAAACTACAAATTCCTTTTCACTCCCCCCCGCCCCCCCATTTAACTACAGAAGTCAGACAGAAGGAAACCCATCGCCTTTGCCAGCTTGTGCTCCTGGCAGTCCCCTCACGGACGCCAGCACAAGGATGACTTGTCCGCAGGTCGGATGCTGGCAAGACAAGCAGCTCTGGCGGGAAGACCATTTGGGCAGTGCGGACAGGACTCCTCCTCCTCCAACGGCAGGCACTGCCAGCCCACAAAGCTGCCATCCCTCCAAAACCAACTCACAGCTTCAGGGAGCAAAGGAGAATTGGAGCTCGGACCCCCAAAGCCTCCTCAGCACACATGGCTCAGCCACGAGGAGCACGTTGCTGCAGAGGTGGGAGCCAGATTCATGTCGCTCCCGTTCCCGCTCCCAGTACGCCTGCCTGCTCCTGAGCTGGTGGAAACGGGAGGCTGGCACAGCCGCAAAGCCCTCTTGCCTTGATGCTCGGGTCCAAAATTCAAGGTTTGAGCCCATCCCTAACAGCTGGCCCTGGCAACAGGGGCCAGCAAAGGCTGGGGTGGGAAAGCACAGCAGGGAAGAGTATTTCTTTCCAGAAATTCCCTCCCTCCCCTTCTCTGCTGTGTTTACAGGCAAGAGCTGCAACAGCAGCTGGAGGCTCACCACTCTCCCCAGTGCCGGCTATTAACAGGCCAATAAAACGTGCCCTTGTGCCATGTCCTGGTGCTATATTGGGAGCAACCTTAATCACAGCTGCAGGGAAATGAGATTACGGCAGGATGCGGCCGCTCTAAGCTGCTGCGCTCGGTTCCCCTCATACGTGGCTGTTGCTCTCATTTGCCTGGGTGTCACAGCACCGGCATAAAATCAGAGGGTCGCCCGATAAAAGGGGACAATCAGCCGAGCAGCTGTGAACCACAGCGTGGCTGCTGCATCGTGCCTTCCCCTCCTCCGGTCCTTCTGCTCAGCCTGGGAGAAGAGCAGCTCCCTGAAGCGCTACAAGGGAAAGACTTGCACCATTCAGTCCTCACCTGCTCTTAATTTAAAGCCTAATGAGGAAGTCGTCTAAGGTGATCTCTGTGCACTGCGAACTGGAATGAGAACACAGTGCTGGAGAGGCAGGAGATGGTGAGGAGCCTGAGCTCTCTGCTCCAGGCATGTTGCACCCTGCGGACCCTACTCCAGTCCCAGCAGAAGCAATTAAAGCACAGGTTTTGGCAGGTAGGGATAACCCATGGAGCCATCCATAGCAGCTAACAAACAAGGTCTCCAGACAGGCAGCCAAGAGCTAAATGCCTCGAGAGGAGGTAAACTGAGGCACTGGCAAAGGCATGGCACGGGGCCAGCTCAGAGGAGCCAAGGGAGCAGAAGCCAACAGCGTGCTTCATCTGACCCCACAGTGTGCTCCACCTGACCCTCGAGAGGTGTCTGCAGGGTGGGTGGCCCCTCCGAGCGACCCCCAGGAGAGATGCAAGCGGTACGTGTTGGTGTGCACTGGGCTTGGCCTTAGCTTGGCAAAATACCTTTAGCGCTTCTTCCTGGCCTGCAAGTCCTTCTGCCATTACTCATCAACTCACCTATAGGGGATTAAGTAAATTTAAGAAGCAAAACACCTACAATGTCTCCTTCTAACCCAAACACACTTGCTTTCGTTTTGCCTGAAGTCTCCAGCCCGCTCCAGCTGCCCAGTCAATAACACTAAAGGCAGCAGCGATGCTCCCCAGGACCAGAGTCCTGCATCCCCTCCGGACTAAGCTACCAGAAAAAGCACGGTTCACTGCAAGTGCCCAAAATGTGGATGCCCCATCATTGGAAGTGTTCAAGGCCAGGTTGGATGGGGCTTTCAGCAACCCGATCTAGTGAAAGATGTCCCTGCCCATGGCCGGGAGGTTGGCCTAGGTGATCTTTAAAGGTCCCTGCCAACCCAAACCATTCAATGAGTTATAAAGCAAGCAGTCGCTCGGTCAGCTCCTGCTCTCTGTCACCTACCCAGAAGTGACCGGGGCCAGCAGGGTCACAGCTGCCCTTGCCTGTGTGCCAAGGAGAGGTGGGACACACTGCCCTTCACAGCTGTGCCTGCAGGAGAGCCAGCTGTGAGCTGGGCACACTTCTGCTCTCAGGGCGATGGGCAAGATGGGATCTGCCTTCCTGCTATGCAGCCCAGGAATTTTTGTTGCAGTGCTAACCTGCCGGGCTTCCCTTTGTCATGTCGATGCCCTGATTACACCCTGCAGCACAACCAGCACATGTTGGGTCAGGACCAGCTCTCCTGGGGCATAGCACTGGTAAGGGAAACATCGTGCTCCGTAGGATGGGCCATAACCACATGTAAGGAGCGCAACGCCTGCCAGCGCAGGGCATCAGAAAAGCTGCAGGACGGAGCTTCCCTGGAGGGCAGGCTGCCCCATCACTGTTCGTCTCCCAGAAGCAGCTTGGGCTGGCTGCTGTCAGAGACGAATGATGAGCAGAGACGGACAGCGGGTCAGGCACGGCACGGCAGTCCCTCTCCTCCTGTCTAGTTCCCTTCTTGAATGCTTTGTTTGGGCCATTGATCCAGCTGGGGAGGCGGGAGGGCTGCCGCTCCCCTCCTCGGTTTCCTCAGAGCCATCCTGCTCAGAAGAGCAGATGCTTTGGGTCAGTCCGATGGCAAGACACCCACCCACAGAGAGAAAGCGTGAAGGCGCAAGATCCTACTGCATAACAAGATATAAATAAATTCAATATGCTAGAGGAAAAAGGCATGTGAAGGAAACAACAGTGCCAGGCAGCGGATGGGTTACTGCAAGGCGGCAGCATCTGTTCCCTTGGATGACTGACAGCATCGCTGTATGTGTTAGGACACAAGATCCTTCCTTCCTTGCTAGCCGTACTCCCCAGAGGGGTGAGCTATTAAAGCCAGGTTCTGAACTGTCTCCTTGACATCAAGTGCCTCCCCTTTCGTTCACAGATACAGTCTATCGCTCTGACCTGCAGCATCGCTAAGGCTTCAAAGAGAGAACAGCCCAGCCTGACCCAGCTCCACTCGACACGGGCGACAAGGGACAGGCTGTTGCCTCTTTCATGTGCCCTCTCAAGTTTGCATGCAGGAGATTTCTTAATGCCCATCTTGCCCCGTGATAACGGGCAGAGGTGATAGAATTTAGGTCATCTCAATCTTTTTTTTTTTTTTTCATGCAGGAAAAAATGATAGTGTCAAGGAGAGCCTGGCAGCTCTCAGCCATCTAGCGATACGGGAATGGATAAGCAGCCGTTTTACTTTGCCACCTGCTTGCAGCATGCCGATGGAGCTGCTGTTTCAGGCACTCTGCAAATTCAGGAAGGCATTGATGCCTTAGTTCATAGCTGCAAAATGCTGTCATCAGACAATGGAATAAGACGTGCCTTTGCTTTATTAATGAGAAAGTAAGACCAAGAAGGAACAGGAGGGTGTGTGTGGTGTTCTCTCATCTGTTGGTAACACCAAAGCTGAAAACTTTGCAGTTTAGAGTATTTACCTACAGAAGATCACAGCAGCGTGGAAGGCAGGGTGCCCTGAGTACCAACAACTGCTCACTTCCCATCATTCATGGTTGTTGGATCCCTTACTCACCATAACCTATGAATCTAAGTCAGGGAAACCACGCAGAGCCTTCAAAGCAAAGTCCAAAATGACCTTGTATCCACCTGGTATGACTCAGGAAGAGAAGCCAACACATCAAGGCATAGGAGGAAGAAGAGTGACTCACCGAAGTTCTCCCCACCCCAGATGTCCATGGCACTGTCATACTTCCCCAGGTGGTTGAACCAAGCTTTGTCGATCACGAACAGCCCCCCGGCAATGATGGGAGTCCTGCAGAAGGGATAAGGGAAGAGAGGACACACGCTCAAACACTGCTGCAGCACCTGGATGCACAGAAGCAGCCCTTCCCTTTGCCTCCTCTTCCATCATCAAGATGTTACCTATGTATCTCCTTCTCATCAAACAAGGACAACACACCTCAAAAAGCATCTGAGCCTTTCTTTTAGCCGCCTTGGTATTTTGCTGTCAATCATAAATTGCCTGGCACTTAATGACTGGCTAATGTACCCATCAGCACAACTCCTACAAGCCCAAAGTTCACAGCCCTGATTGTAGGCTTCAGCATCAAAAACGCACTTAGCACTCGGGGGGTTATTCACTCAGACGGGCTTTTTGCCTGGAGCCAGCCTATTAAGAGCACCATTCCACTGGGGAGGGGAAGGTAGAGCCCATTCAGAAGGGCTTTTTAAAAGGCATCACTAGCTGTGTGATCTTTATTTCAAAACAGGGTTATTTTTCATTCTTTGGATTAGCTAAGAAAACTGCACAGAGCAGGTCCATGGAGGAGAGGAGGGTAGACTCAGAAGATAGCTGGAGGAGACTCGCCATTTGCTGGCACAAGTCCTGTGTCCCCGTTCAATGGCAGGCTGTGTGGATGCCTTAGCCTAGGCTTGGGAGAAGCTGGGGTGACTGCTGCACCCAGGCTAGTCTCCACAGTGCCCTGCATGGCAGGACGACCGGGAACGCAAGGTGAGCCTTTGGCAAGCCAGGGAGAGCTCCTGTTAACAACAGCATCCTCAGGAGAAGCAGTGCTTTGCTCCCCTACGAGCTTTCTCAGGCCCTGAGAGCTTCCCCCAACACTTGGTCTCCTCCACACCACACACCCCAGCACTTCACATCTGGGGACGCAGACACCAGCACCAGGCTTGCTGCCAGGAGAGATTTTCAGCAGAACAGAGGACTCCCTCCATCCCATGGCATGGGGACAGATGGCATCTCTCCTGTTCTGTTTTGCTCTCTTTCCTGCACATCCTGAATTTCTGAGGAGACTTCAGCAAGGTCCAGAAGAGCAGTGCTGGTCTGGAAAGGGTGGACTAGACACTACAGCTGAGGACTTGTTTTTAAGTGATAGTGAGCTGAGAGAAGCAGGAGTCTAGAGCACTGGGCTTTTTCCCTAACCATATTCAGCCTCCTTAGCACTGCCAAAACACAAATAACCATAAATATACCCCCTCTACCTTTGTAGCACCCTCGGGCTTCAGTGTTGGGAGGTGAAGGGGTACTGCAAAACCCAAGCTAGCCAGGAGCTCGCTATAGGTATTAGAAGTTCAGAGCTGTCCTGGAAAGAATATCACATTGCTGTGGGGCACAGATGTGACACAGATGAGGTCAGATAAGATGCCTGTCCTGCCCCACGTTCCTCAGGTGCCTCCTTCCCCCTCTCGACTTACTTAATGGGTTCGGTGGGATCAAGTCGTTTGGCTTTCTGCTCTGGGGAAAGCTGCTCCCATTTGAAATGCAGACTCCAGTCAAAACCTAAAACCAAAGTAGAGAAGTACCATGGGGAAATTAGAAATGGGTATGGATTAGGAGGCAATGCAGGCTGCAGAAGCTGTGTTTGATGGAGTATGTTCCCCGCTTTCAAATAACTTAAGCCATGGAGATGCAGCTCTTGGGAGAAGAGTCCAATGACTAACGTCTTTTACTACCGCATATGAACAAGAAACAACATATTCCATTACAATTGCAAAGTCAAGCACTCCAAAGGCAGGAAAAGTCAGAATTAAAGCTGCGGCTGAAACCTCACTTTGTCCCCTTGTGCACACAGCTACACGCTCTGATGGATATTGCGTGCTACAAATAGCACAGACATACTAATAAGTGCTACAGTCGCATCCTCCATTTGTTGTCTAGACATCCCCCATCTCCTCCTGTCGGCAGCCCTGCTTTCAGCGCTGCCGAGGGTGGCTTGGACATGACCCTTCTCTCCTGCTTGACTGCCTTATCCACTGTAGCAAACACCATTCCTCATGCCACGCTTACCTGTCTCTAAAATAGCCTGAAAAGAGCCGGCGGTGAGCACTGAAGAGTGCTAATGCGCTTTTTGCAAGATAGCAGGAGCCAGCGGCATGCTGCAGAGCCACCAGCTCCTTGGGCCACTGCATGTTGACACCATGGGATGGACGCCCATGGGGCATGCACGAGGCTTGGGCTTACCTCCTCTGAGGTCTGAGGAAGCCGCCACGTAGGCAAAAGTGTCCAAGTTGATGATGTCAATAACGGGGCTCACCACCCGGGTAGGATCCTGGAAAGCAGAAGCAAAACAACCCATGACTTCAAGATCGCACCACTCAAACTGGTCAAGGGATGTTCTGAACTCCTGGAGACTCCAGGTGGCTGGAAACCAAATCGATTCTGTGATTCCATGAAACCTTGGGGTCATTCAGGTTTGTCAGCGACAAGTGCCCATCACTGCCTCCTCCTCCTCAGCCATCACATCAGTTCAACCAAGGAACTAATGGTAGCAGGACCAAGTGGCAGAGGTATTGCCGGGAGCCAGGGCCTCGCCAGTGAGAGAGGCTGGGAAGGCAGGCACTGTCTCTCCCAGGAACGAGGACTGCGTGCTGCTGGACTGCTCAGCTCGCATCTCTCAGTGGCATTGGTTTCGCCCACAGCCTTTCCTCCGCAGGCTGTGTACGTACTCGGCACCCAACTCGGCCGGATGCAAAGCTCCGTCTGCCTTTTGCAAATTCACCAACGTATTCCCCTTTCGCGTCCTTTAAATACTTTTTACTGGATTTCAGAAATCAGGCGACCAACAGGCAGTTGAAATGACAGAGGAAAAACACAGGCAGTCAAGCAGCTTAAATACAGGTATTTCTTAAATGTACAAACTATGGGGATACAGTTAGAGTTTCACCAAAGCTGTGAAAGGGTTAAAAAAAAAGACCTGAATTATTTTAAAGAGTTGGTGGCGATTTAATTAACATCTTGTTATGGGCAAAAAGATTATACAAACAGTTATGAACAAAAATCTCTGATAGCTTTGACTGGTCTCTTATCTTCCTTTTTCTTTTTAAAAATCCCAAACTCCAATTATAGCTCAAACTTCAAGCTTTTGCCCTCACCAGATCAAATTGTTTTTCACAGCCACGCAAAGGAAAGCATCTGAGCGCACACAGGCTTGCTCTCTCACTCAGAAAGATTTTGTTTTAGAAATGAGTCCTAACAAAGAAATATTCAAATGCAGCTGTAGGAAGAAGCAACCAAAGGCCATGAGCTGGGAGCTAGAATACAGCTCAGGTTTTCCAAATGAGCATGACAAATACTTGGTATTTCCATAACAACATCAAGTCAGGAGTCTTAACTTGACTTTCTACTAGTCAAACATTCCACTGAAAGAGCAAGATCTGCTGTACCTACGTACCGCATGGGGCAACTCAAGTCCCGTCCAAGGACGACGAGCCTTTCCAATCCCCGTAGCTGCTGTATGCGTAGTGCCCCCCACGCTGCACAGCTCAGCATACCCAAGCATCCTTTAGTTGCCCGAGGGGAGGGGAAAGGGTTTAAGCAAAGCATCTGCTTTGTGTGCTGAACACTGCAGGGAAAGGATGGTGCCTAGTCATTTGAAACTTGCCCCTCAAGCATCTTACTGGGGAAGCACTTCTAACTAGCTGACACCCATCCCCAATTTCTATCCACTCCTACTCATTGCATGGCACAACTTCTTGCAAGATAATTCGCTTTATATCTTGGCTGAGTGCATTACTGCAAAACGCTAGCCTTCAGCAGTGGCCTGCCTGACCTTCCCTGCCATGTCCTGGGAACATTTATATTTACTCAGCTTTCAGGAAGGTCGCTCTGACCCTCAAAAGAGAAGTACAGCATGCTCAAGAGCACAGCGCTGTTGCTATGATTTTTTTTGGGTTGAGCACTAGATCTTATTATAGGCGGCTTCACCTTTCTGTTTTTTTGACACCCTCCCATGCCAGGGCATGTTAATATTAACAACACCCAAATCTTTAATCCTCTTTCACATGAAATTCTCAAAAACCTGAGAATGCACTTCTCCAATACACTTCTCAAACAAGTCAAATTATGGAACTAAATCAACGGGAAAAAACTCTGGAAATGGAAAAGGTGCTTGCCTCCAGCTTGTCTCCCAGCCTCTACATCATGATCTTGTAATGGTCAACAAAAAGGGCCACAGTTGCTCCTCTGGCCCCACCGCAGTGTTAGGCAAGGCAAGAGGGCCAGGCTGCCCCTCGCCTGCCTCCCCCTGCCCCAGGAGAGCACCATACTGGGGGGGAGT